TGTGTTCACACGGCTACTGCGTGAGGCCTTGTTTGCCGCCAGCGCGCTTACTTTCTACGACGAGGTGTCTCCATGCAACGCCCTGTGTGGACGGCAACCAGCAATGCTCCCTGTCTTACCTGTCCTGGATCCCGAACAGCCGACGAAAACGTCGGATCATTCTCGTGAACAGATGATACGTAAGGTATGCATCGAAGTTATCACACAGGCCATAGCAGCAGCCAAGAGACCAATCGTGCATTGCGCACTAAGACAATTGTGACCGGTCAGCATTACTACGATGAAGGAGATTTGGTTGATTACCATTGCCCCACAACCACGAAGGGCGACTGGGGAGGCTGGAATGGCCCATTCCCAATTGTAAAACACGATCCTGAAAGGGGTCAGGTCACCATTCGAGTGGGGGGCCGCGATGTTAAGGTACAATACGGCGATGCACGACATTCACTTTATATTGAAGCCTTAATAGCCAGCGGAATTGGCTTCGACAGCACTGCACTACAGACAGCGTTGACGTTCGTGGCCAGTATACCTGCGGGGGGACTTGCTGTGACATTGGACTATGTACCGACCAAGAAGGGGATGCTTCAGATAACAAGTGCAAGCCGACTATCTCCTAAGGTACGTCTCCTTCCACAATACCTTAACGGCAACTTATTCCGCATTGGGAATGTAATTTCGGTCAGGTTAGCCAAGGGTACCCATGAGCTACCTCCAGTTGCTTACGCTGACAGTTGCACATTGGCCATCATGGCAACAATGTGAATCTATGATATCATTTTTATGAGCAGAAGGCGCTGCTCTTAACAGATACGATATATATATATATATATATATATATATATATATATGTTTACATATACATGTATATATATATATATACATATTATCAGCACATTCTAGAATCATCCAGCGCTTGAAGTCCACCAAACCTCATGCAGGCGTTGACCAGGATATGACAAAGTTTGAGGACTTGGCGGATGCACCTACACCGGATGGAACTGCAAGAGAAGCTTCAGAAGCCGAACCACAACAGGAGGATGGACGGCATCGCACGATCTATGAGAAATCGGAGGCTGACCTCGAGTCACACGCCATGGAAGTGCGGTATGCAGAACTACAATAGGAAAGGGAACTGCTGGAGGCAACTCCACTAGAGGATCTCTTCGCGATGCCCGCGCAGATGACTCCAAGGCTCAGAGGCGCGCTGGCGCATGCATTAATCACCCAGGTGTGGTTGATGGTGCATGTTGTTTCTCTCCAACGTGTCCAAGAACCGACCAATATAGAAGTGCGACGACTCAGCGCGATATCCTGGGAAGATCGTCTACCAGGCGATGGCCCGCTATGGTATTCATGGGGCAAGCCTGCTACGGCGTGGAAACACGCCATCTGGTAAGCCCGTCGTCCACTTGATCGATGTGTACTGCAAGTTTCACCGCTTGCAGGTCCTCTCGGGCTATTCCGCAGAGACACTGGCAGCTGCACATGACTTGGAGGATTGTTACCCCACGATCGTGACTCTGCACGAGCTCCACGCAGGGCCGCGAACTCCCACTCAGTTGAAAGACATACTTGAGTCGGGTGGCCTGAGCATCAAGGTCATTTTGACCATCGATGCTGAGTTTGTTTTTAAGTCCTTGTCAAGCAAAGACTTGCAGAAGCCGACTGAGTGTTCCCTTTTAGGACACATCAGTTGGATACGACAGATGATGGAGCGAGGAATCGTGCACAGTATTCAGTGGTGCGGCACCCGCGATACGACTGCGGACGGTCACACCAAGGGGAGCATCGACAGAGAGATGCTCCTACAGGTCATGGGAGGTATACGATCCTTCAAACATGATTTAAAGAGTCATATCCTATCGGGCTGGCCAGACATCTCGTTCTGTGGTCGCCTGAGGAGTATCTGTATGTACAGAATGGTACAGGTAAGGCAACTTGCGTGCGGGTCCACCTTCCTTACGGCCCCGCCCTTTTGCTGCCCTTTTGTAGATGGTCGCTGCTGTATCTGCTGTATAGAGGCGGCGGATTCACGCCTCGTCTCCCTCCCCCCCGACTCTAAAGTGAGCTGGGCACTGCATGTGAGTGGGAACGAGCGTGCATCCGCGGCTGCTTGGCTCAGAGCGGCCGGCCGCTCAGATCTGACTACACCTCAGCGCGAGGTGTACTAGTTGCCATCGATACCAAAACACTGCTTGAGATCGCTCGCCCCCTACTACTGGGACCATCGCTACTACGGTGCAGCGGAGCGGGAGCTTGGCTTCGCCTACGGCGAAGCTGTTGGTTGGGCCTGCCAACCCCTTTCGAACTCGCTGCACGGACGGAGGGCAGCTTACCTTCCACACCGGGGCTCTCGCTGGACACGTCCTGACTTTCGCCGTTCTGCCTTCATAATGTTCCGGCCAGAAAGATGCAGCGCGTATCTGATTCAACGCAGGGGTTTTGCCAAAATGGCAGTCCCGCGTGGCGCCTCTTTGAACCGGGGCCTTCATCCTTCCCTCTTCCCTTCTCATCTCCCTCTCCCCATGTCCCTGTTTTCTTCGACGTGGCATCGATGAATGCGTAGCGTCGCCTCCCCCGCCCGTGCACCCTTGCGGGAGGGCGCTCTGTTCACCTGCGGCTCTCAAATGTCCCACCAGCTCGCTGGATCTCGCACTCACGCGTTCCCCTGGGTCTTTGCTGCTCTCTGGCTGAGTCCGCGCGGTTCTCTATTCCGCACAGAGAAGAGAGGCTGCTTTCTCGGTTCTCTTCGCATCCGCAGCATTCGTGCTCAATGGCCGCTCCTGCATAGGCGACCCTCCATGCCAGCTGGCAGCTGCAGCCAGGACATCATCGTCCATGCCCCTCCTCACCGTGCACTGCCGTCCCCTGCCTCCCCCTCCGTCCTTACTCCTGCCTCCTTGGTCGGCTGCTGGCATTGCTTGTTCTCGCGGTCTCCTCGCTTTTGGCACGTCAAGACCAAAATGTCGGCCGTTGTGTCAGCGGCGCCTCCTCCGATGGCTCTGGGTCTTGGCCCCCGCGTGCTAGGGCTACCAGTGGCTTTGCCGCCGCGCGGAGTTCCACCCTGGGGACCCGCTCTTCCAAATAACAAATCAGCGTGTCGAGGGTGGACAGAACCCCCAACAGTGACACGTCGATTAGTGAATTGTCCGTTTTCGGTTCTCGAAAGGGCGCCGTGGCCGTTATTTTCCACGCTTGCGCCCGCCAGGTTTGGGCCTCGGGTCTTTTTCGCTAAACCACGTTTTACTAAAAGGGGGTCTGTCCATCCCCGAGCGTGTCTCTGATGATTGAACCGCGCCCGCCTAAGTTTACCTCGGCTCACCTTGATCGCTCACCCTAGCGCACTTCTCGGCGGCGCGGCCGGTGGGGAAGTGAGAGTGGGCAGGCCTTCTCAGAATGCGGCGGTGCTTTTCAGAAGCTCTCTAGCATTCTGAGAAGCCGTCTCTGCCTTCGACGCCGTCACACTGTGGAAGCTCATGTGCGGCATGCAATCCGCAGGGTTGGATGCCGCAGGAACCAGGAATTTGCTTGGCTTTGCGGTATGCGCATTCCTTCGTCCTGCGTATCTCGTGTATCAAACGCAGCAGTGCCTCAAAGGGCTGGTTGCGAGCCTTTGGACAGGCGTTTGATGCAGAAGCTATTGTCGCTGTACGGGCGTGTCGCCCGATCACCTGCCGCAGATTATCTCCGCCGTTTTCCTCGCGACATAGCGGTATATCAGGCGCTGTGGACGGCCGCGCAACGAGTGGTCGACCATGGTTCAGAGGGATGCATTTCGTGCGAATCTGCGTTCTAAACTTGTGCATGATGAAAGCATATGGAAGCTCAGCACTGTACGTCCACGAGTCTTTGGCGTATGACTTGTGTGCGTGTCTCTTTCTTCGGACAGGGCTCAGAAAACTTCTCAGAAGGCCCGAGGCCTTCCGAGTCTTTGAGACGGCTTGCTCCCTCTGCATTCCCCCCTGGGCTCGCCGCCGAACTTCGTTTTTCGCTGTCAGGGGTCTCTGCTCTCGTTTCGTTTGGCACTGCCGTGGCTTTCTCGCTGCCGCGGTCACGTTTGGCCTCAAGGGATCTGGGGGGCCGGTTTCGAAGGGGCGTCCGCTCAGGGAACCTTCTCAATCTGATATGCAAAGGGGCAGACTCTACGTAGGCCTCCCAAGTGGGGTCCGAGTAGATGGGGTCGGATGATTGCGCCGCATCGGCGATGCATCGCCGATGCGTCGCCGATGAGGCTCGATGTGGTGCCCGATTCACTCCACGCCGACGTTGCTGATGCATCGCCGACGTCGCCGATGCATTACCGATGCATCGTCGATGCCACGCGATCCTCCGTCCCTATCAGCTCGGACCCCCCTTGGGGGGCCTCTACAGGCAGGAGGTTCAGCAGGAGACTCAGCACGAAGCCTGGCGAAAACGCTGTCGGCCCACGTGGAATTTCTATCTCCATGTTGTTCACCAGGAATGACGGGTGCCACCAGGCACTGGCGGTCCAGGTCGTGTTTGCCCGATTGCAAGCTTTGCGCAGTCGTGGTATGTGAAGTATGATACAATGGATTTCGAGGCCACGTGAATTTGCGAAGCAAGCAGCGCCAAATCTGGAACTCTGAGTATCGGAAAGAGCGTCTTCTGATTACGCTTGGAGGAAGTCAAAGGGGGCGGGGGGGACGGGACGGGTTTCGAACCATTTGCCCTCCCCCTTCAAAAGTCGGTGGGGTCGTAACCCTATCTTTTTTATCATCAGAAAAAAATCGGGGAGCGGGGTTCAACCACCTCCCCCGTGGAGAGGTGAAGGGGTTCCACATTGGCGGGGGAGGGGATTTTCGAGAGGGGGGACGGCCGCATCCAGAGCGGGGGAGCTTAGGATTTTGCGCCAGTGGAGCGTAAACGCAGGACGTTCTCTCGAGCATCGGAAGAGCATATTGCAAGTATTTGCAAGTTCCTTTTTCGAGTTTGATGGGAGAAGGCTGTATCCTCCTGATGCGCCCCCCGCCGCGCAGGAGGCGCCCGCCACTGCACTCGATGGCGGGCATTTACCCATGGCTGATTCTCGGGG